TGAGCCAATGTATGATCTTGCTCTGATGCTTTAATAAATAGATCAAACGCTTGAATTAGATTTTCACAAGTTTCAGAAAATTGAATCCAAATCATCTTGATTAATTAACAACCATTTATAAATTTCTTGCGATTTTATATTATGACTATTACTATTGAAATAATCAATGATATATTTGTGTGAATCATTTCCTTCATTAAATAATTTAAAGATATGTTCCACTATTTCATTAATTATTATTTTTAAATTCTTTTCGGATGAAATACTTTCTTTAACTATTTGTTCATTTGTTGTTGTTATAGAGATGAATGTATCTTTTCCATTAAAATTTATAAAATGAGACATCCATTTGTATGAATTACTGGCACTCGAAGCATTTGAAGAAGTAATAATATTAGTTGGATTAATTTCTTGTTTATCCGATAATTGAAAGCTAATAGGTTTTGTAGTCATTATTGCTTTTAAACTTTTTACTACCTGGCCTATGGTTGGTCGACTATTCGGCTCATTATTCCAACAATCTAAAAAGTATATATAATTTAGTAAGAAATAAATTATAATATATTGAAAAAAAAAAAATTAAGAACATTATTTACCGGTATAAAGTTTTATATAATTCTCAGATGTATCAGGAATAGGACTTTCTCTAAGACCTTGCAAAATTTCTATAGCCAAATCAATATCATATTCTTTAGTAGAAAAAGGAGATTGTCCGCTAGATATCTACACCAATACTGTAAATGTCGCTCTTTTCATTATATGAGAAAAATTTTATTGGATTTTTATATTTTCGTTTACTAAAAATTTTTGGATCGACGTAAGGAATTATTCCTAATCTTGATTGTTTGGACGCTAATTCAATTCTTTTTGATAACCCAAAATCGGCCACCTTTATTGTGTTTCTATGAACCAATATATTACCAGGATGCTATTAATTATATAAATATTTAAATTTAATAATAAATTTAAAAAAAAATATAATTAGTTCTTATTTGAAATTAATGTAATTACCAAATCACGGTGTATGATCCCTTCATCATGTAAGCACGACACGGCACAAGATAATTGGTACGCAATGTTATATTTATCGTCCCAGGTAAGGTTATTGAAAGTTTTCTTTAAATAATCTTTAAGAGTGCCAGAATCGGCATATTCCATAACTATCAAATATCTTTTAAATAAATCATCTTGATCGTCTAACGATAACGAATTAAAGAAAGAGTAAATTTATTCATCGCACGTGCGATGCATCGCCACTTTCCTTTTTTGTAAATTATTTATGTTGATCAACCTGCTTATACATCGCCACCCCC